CAACCTTTGTTTGAGCTTCAACCCCAGGGTCTGGCACGTTTTGGCATTGGCAAGAGCAGCCTCCTGGACGGGCCAGCACTATACAAGACTGGCCCACCCTGCAGGCTGCAGGTAGTTGGGAGGCCGCTCCTAGGTACTTCCCAGGCACTTCATGTGCAGGCAGGAGGCAGTCAGTAGTCTTCAGGATTCGGCAGCAGCACTCTGGAGGAGCGCTGCAGGAGTAGTGGTAGCGTTAGCAGTAGTCTTCAGCGCTGGGCGCTAGTAGCGTTAGGTGTAGTCTTCAGCGCTGGGTGCCATAGGTAGAGTAGTACTAGAGAGAGAGAGAGATTGGGCGGAGGCCAGGGATACTTACCTGCAGCGCCGTTGCTCCAGCTTCGTCTTCGAGGTACCTGCACCACAGCGCCAACTTCACAGGTTAGTACCTGGCTCGTGAGAGAGAGAGAGTTCTTCTTCTTCCTCTTCTCAGTCCACCATCTCCGTCTCACCCTCTCATTATCTGACTTCACTGCATCAGCAGACTACGGGAGAAAGAGAGAGAGAGAGCTTGGTGACATTGGATCCAGACTCGACTTTTGGGCTTCAGACATTTCGACGAGAGATTACTTGGGACTTGTGACAAAGACTTGGTGTTGACGACATTCTCATCTCTCTCCCTCTTCTTCGTCTGATCCCCTCCTCTTCGTCTGTGTATGTCTGGACCTGGCGCTTCCTTCCTGTGTATAGCGCCAGGCTCCTTCACACCTTGTGATGAGCATGATGTATGTTTGGTCTGGGTTAAAACATTGATTGGGCTAGTCATTAGTATTCTAGCATTCTGCTTCGCTATCTTGTACTACGTGAAAGGGGTCAGTCTCGGTCAGGTCAGGATTTGTATCACCCTTTTGTATGTATCGGACTGCACATTGCTTGTTGAGATTCCACTTGCACTGCATTGTCCGTTCAGTCCTTTTTATCACATTGCGGATCCTCGGTTATTTTGTACATCGCCCAACTGGGCATGTATCAGTGGATGAACCAGAATCAATATCCGAAGTTCCCTCTTACTGCTGACTCAACAACAACAACAACAAGTTCACCATAGCTATGGCTTCCCTCCTCCTTCCTCCTCTCACATGCCTAGGCTATGGCGGACTACTGAGGGCCCTGCCCTCCTGTCCAAAGGACAACCCAAAGCAGCTATGGCGCTGCACTCCTGTCCAAAGGACAACCCAAATCAGCTATGCCACTGCTGACTAAGCCGCCATGCCTGACTCTGCCTCGAGCTTCCTTGGTGCGGCACTACCCCAACTGGGGCCTTCCAGATGCAACGCCCAACAAGGTGATGAAGATGGTGTCCACCATAGCCAGGTAGGTGCCTCGCCACTCTCCTCCTTCGCCCCCTTCTTCCTCCTCCTCAGGCTGGGCTGCTCGCCATAGCCAGGCTGAGCGCCCAGCTGCCCTTCACCTCCAGGCAGCGCTGTACCAGTCCAGCGATTCGCTCAGCAGCATGTCGCCAATCCTTGCATACCGCAAATGAGGAGGAACTACTTGCTCCTCCGGAAGATATAGCGGCCTACTGGCCTCTTGGGCGGTGACTTCCTAGGCCGAGCGGCCTCCCAGCAACCGGTACCTCCTCCCTTTC